ATATCCCCTGCAGAGTGGCAAACAAACAAATCCTCTGCAGAGTGACAAAAAAACAAATCCCCTGCAGAGTGACAAACAAACAAATCCTCTGCAGAGTGACAAACAAACAAATCCTCTGCAGAGTGGCAAACAAACAAATCCTCTGCAGAGTGACAAAAAAACAAATCCCCTGCAGAGTGACAAACAAACAAATCCTCTGCAGAGTGGCAAACAAACAAATCCCCTGCAGAGTGACAAAAAACAAATCCCCTGCAGAGTGACAAACAAACAAATCCTCTGCAGAGTGGCAAACAAACAAATCCTCTGCAGAGTGACAAAAAACAAATCCCCTGCAGAGTGGCAAACAAACAAATCCACTGCAGAGTGACAAACAACAAATCCTCTGCAAAGTGGCAAACAAACAAATCCCTTGCAGAGTGGCATTCAAACAAATCCTCTGCAGAGTGGCAAACAAATAATTCCTCTGCAGAGTAGCAAACAAACAAATCCTCTGCAGATTGGCAATCAAACAAATCCTCTGCAGAGTGGCAAACAAATAATTTCTCTGCAGAGTAGCAAACAAACAAATCCTCTGCAGATTGGCAATCAAACAAATCCTCTGCAGAGTGGCAAACAAATAATTCCTCTGCAGAGTGGCAAAAAAACCCTCTGCAGATTGGCAAACAAACAAAACCCCTGCAGATTGGCAAACAAACAAATCATCTACAGAGTAGCAAATAACAAATCATCTGCAGAGTGGCAAACAAACAAATCCCCTGCAGTGGAAAACAAACAAATACACTGCAGAGTGGTAAACAAACAAATCCCCTGCAGTGGCAAACAAACAAATACACTGCAGAGTGGTAAACAAACAAATCCCCTGCAGTGGCAAACAAACAAATACACTGCAGAGTGGTAAACAAACAAATCCTCTGCAGAGTGACAAACAAACAAATCCTCTGCAGAGTGTCAAACAAACAAATCCTCTGCAGAGTGACAAAAAACAAATCCCCTGTAAAGTGGCAAACAAACAAATCCCCTGCAGAGTGACAAACAACAAATCCTCTGCAAAGTGGCAAACAAACAAATCCCCTGCAGAGTGGCATTCAAACAAATCCTCTGCAGAGTGGCAAACAAATAATTCCTCTGCAGAGTAGCAAACAAACAAATCCTCTGCAGATTGGCAATCAAACAAATCCTCTGCAGAGTGGCAAACAAATAATTCCTCTGCAGAGTAGCAAACAAACAAATCCTCTGCAGATTGGCAATCAAACAAATCCTCTGCAGAGTGGCAAACAAATAATTCCTCTGCAGAGTGGCAAAAAAAACCTCTGCAGATTGGCAAACAAACAAATCCCCTGCAGATTGGCAAACAAACAAATCATTTGCAGAGTGGCAAATAACAAATCATCTGCAGAGTGGCAAACAAACAAATCCCCTGCAGTGGCAAACAAACAAATACACTGCAGAGTGGTAAACAAACAAATCCTCTGCAGAATGGCAAACAAACAAATCCTCTGCAGAGTGGCAAACAAACCCCCTGCAGAGTGACAAAAAAACAAATCCTCTGCAGAGTGACAAAAAAACAAATCCCCTGCAGAGTGGCAAACAAACAAATCCTCTGCAGAGTGACAAGCAAACAAAATTAGCCATCTTAAATATCCAATTCTATATAAAAATAAGGAGATGTGGTATGATTGCCAATGAGACAACTAACCACCAAAGTTCAAATGAAGTGGATGTAAGCAATTATAGGCAACCGTACGTCTTTCAACAAAACCCATACCTTATAGTCGGCTATAAAAGGCCCCGAAACAATTCAATTGAGAAAACTGACGGCTTAATTTATAACAGAACAATTTACTCTTACCCAGATTAGTTAAATATTTCAGGGAAATTTGTGATAAGTAAGTTGTATGCATTCTCCACCTGTATAGTTGTTCTCATCATTGTGCTTTGATTGATAGTTGTGCCATTGGCAATCATACAATGATTTGATTAATGTGAAAAGTAAACATTTTATTCCTTTAGCAATTGAAACAAATTGGTGGATCAACATCATACGTATGAATGTCTGTTTGGCCTTGTGAGTTTCGTCTCTCCTTTTTAAAATGCCATGAAAATTGATTGCTGTCGTTTTACGCCACTTTCAGCATTATTGGCTATATATCGAGGTGGTCAGTTTTTTTGTGGTGGAGGAAGCCAAAGTGCCTGTAGAGAACAACCGACCATCGGCAGGAAAACCAAATAAGAAATCAGTGTTTGTTCATGTGCACTTCGGACCCATCAGCAGGCGTTACATATGATTTGATGAATGAATATTGAAATTGTAATGACGATTTATTTCTTCCGCCACTTCGTCGAGGCAAGACACAAACTACTCTGTAAGATAGTTTTCATATTGTCAACCTAACCACATCTTCTTATTTCCAAATTTATTTTAAAGACTACTTACATGGATCCTATTTTGTAAAATTATTCATCTTAACTATATGTCCCAAATCAGCTGTTTAGCTATCAGTTTTTTTATGATTTTTAATTTAAAAAAAAACAATCAAAGAGCTTTGTATGTGAAGCTCTAAGGGGTAGGTGGTCATTGTTTCTCCTGATTTCAGTGTTTTCAATGTATAATTATTGAACAGCACATGTATTCCTGATTCAAAGATATTCGACCTGTATGACTCGGAGGTGCGATGGGGACGCTGAAATGCGATAGTCTGTTTGACGCGTGATGGCTAGTTTAAAACCCCCTCTCTACTAATCAATTCCCTTTTCCCGTAAAGTATTAAAGTTTATAATCTATTAACTTGTTCCCATGTTGAATATGCATACAATTTTTTTATTGGTGTATGGATTTGCATTCATTACTATTCATAAAATATTTATGGCGTTCCGGTAAAGCGATGATTTATATGCGCATGGTTGAAATAAAAGAATTGTTAAAAGAATCAGCATCCTACAATAAGCATGTCTGCATATACTTTTGCATACTCTCGATGATTTACTTGAAAACCTGAAAAACTGATTATAAAAGGGCGCAGATGTCGAACCCTGAACAGTTGGGGTAAGTATGGACACAACATTCAAGTTTGATACAGCTCTGAATTTGGATTGTGATTAAATATTTGACACTGCCTATGTTTCTGACACAGAATGAATGAGGTCTAAGAACTTAAAAATTTTAAATTTGACATTTACCTATTATGGTCCACTATAACCTACTTTATAAACATCAGGTATAGAAAATTTCGAATAACATAAGATTGAAGATAAGTAAGATGGAATATAATTGAAAGGGAGAAATTAAAACAATAAAACATGAGAATATAGAAAACTAACGTTTGTGGTTGTTTTTAAAGTCTGACTGTACATTTGTTTCTCGGTCTTCGTTTCATAAAATGATGCGGACGCTATTTAACAAACTTGAAATTGATCATGTGCACAAATCGATGTCGAGATGAGGCATCGAAGTTAAACAATTGTAAAAGACAGAAATGGACACGGAAACTCTCCTGGAAACGGTTTCTATGTTTAGACTTGAACAGCCAGCAGTATTGGATTTTAGAAGACTTAAAATCTTCTTCCACCAAAAAAGTTGGGACATAAACTTTGATATCAATACCCATCTTGTACCAAATTTTATTTAAAAACTTACACAAGCAAAAGATACTGATAAAATACTTCCATAATTCTTATCAACTGATTAAATTTGAAACAGTAATTTATTATAAATTTTGATTAACAAATGAACTATATGCAAGTGTATATCTAAAATAACGTAGCTGTTCGACCGATCTTTTCTTAATTTAAGGACAAATAACATGTCAAAGTTGGCAGTTGGTGATTAAAATGGTGTATAAAGATTCTGCAAGTCATAAAAACACATAATTAGTTTGATCCATGATATGTCTTCAACTAAGAAAACTGCACCATCTCAAAATCCGGAGTGATCACATAGATATATAGCATGGCTGAATGAAAAATCCTACTTTGTGAATAACCCCACTGATTCGAACAACAGATACACCAAAGACAGCATCATTAAAACGCTCGATATTTTTTTTGTAGAGTTTGGTGGATCAATAGACAGTCAGTATATCAATGGGTACTGATTGTGCACCGCGAAGGATGAAGCATTTGGAGTAAGATATGATTACCCTTCCAGAGAACCCAAGAAAACCACCGGTATCTGGTGGTACTTACCATGAGCAACACGAAGGATGAAGTATTTGGAGCACATGATTACCCTTCCAGAGAACCCGAGAAAATCTCCGGTATCTGGTGGTACTTACAATGAGCAACACGAAGGATGAAGCATTTGGAGCACGATATGATTATCCTTCCAGAGAACCCGAGAAAACGTCCGGTATCTGGTGGTACTTACGATGAGCAACACGAAGAATGAAGCATTTGCAGCACGATATGGTTACCCTTCCAGAGAACCAGAGAAAACGTCCGGTATCTGGTGGCACTTACGATGAGCAACACGAAGGATGAAGCATTTGGGGCAAGATATGATTACCCTTCCAGAGAACCCGAGAAAACGTCCGGTATCTGGTGGTACTTACGATAAGCAACATGAAGGATGAAGCATTTGGGGCAAGATATGATTACCCTTCCAGAGAACCCAAGAAAACCTCCGGTATCTGATGGGGTTCGTGTTAGTCAGTCTTTAGATTTGAATATAGTGTTTTGTAGACTGGTGTTCGTCTCTTCATGTTTTTATGTTTTGTTATTGCCATGGTGTTGTTGGCTTTCCTCGACTTTCGAGTTTTAATTGTGCCTCTGGTATCTTCTATCTCTTTTTAAGAACACATATGTTAACATTGTGGAAACATAGTGTCATCACACAAACTTTCATACTGATTACATTTAAAGCAAGGCAAACAATTAATACAGTTAGCAGTAGGTAAATCTATCTAATTCACATCAAACCTTTTTGTAACTTGATCATAAACAAATATTTCATTGGCTTTCCAGTTGACAACATTGACAGTTCTCTTCTTTATTTAACACAATGATCATATTTATATTAATTTATTTGCATCAATTGTTTATATTGACAGAAATTATGCATTTATATGACACAGTTTCATTGGCATAGCTATGATAATGACACAAAGTAAAGATATGATCCTGATAGATATCCTTTATTTAACCAATTGTCATCGGCTTGACAATAACAACTGGTTTTCATACAGTATGAAAGGTTTTTACTACTCCATGTGGAAAGTATTTTGGAAAAAAGAAAATAAAACACTGAGATTTTACATTGTACGAACCAGAACATTTAATGTTCTCTAACTAAATAATACAAAATTTGGTGACGATGTTGAACGAATCTATCCCATCGAACTAGAGATAAAGGATACTACAGATACAGTTAAGTCTGCCTCATATCTTGACTTACATGTAGAAATTGACAATGAGGGTCGGTTGAAAACAAAACTTTACGACAAAAGAGATAATTTCAGCTTCCCATTTGTGAACTTTCCATTTCTATGTAGCAACATTCCAGCAGCGCCTGCATACGAAGTATATATCTCCTAATTGATACGATATTCCAGGGCTTGTATTTCCTATTATGATTTCCTTGATAGAGGATTGCTGCTCACAAGGAAGCTATTAAACCAAGAGTTCCAAATGGTGAAGTTGAAATCATCCCTTCGTAAATTTTACGGACGCCATCACGAGTTGGTTGACCGTTATGGAATAACCGTTCCACAGATGATATCGGATATGTTCCTTATGTCGTAACTACAATACCCTTCCCTTTTCACGAATGTGACCTACCGAATTAGACTATTTACCGGATTTGTAATAACATAAGCAACACGACGGGTGCCACATGTGGAGCAGGATCTGCTTACCCTTCAGGAGCACCTGAGATCACCCCCAGTTTTTGGTGGGGTTCGTGTTGCTTAGACTTTAGTTTTCTATGTTGTGTCATCTGTACTATTATTTGTCTGTTTGTCTTTTTATTTTTGGCCATGGCGTTGTCAGTTTGTTTTCGATCTATGAGTTTGAATGTCCCTCTGGTAACTTTCGTCCTTCTTTTAAATTAAAGCTACTAATTTTTTTTTATCATCTTTATAGGCATGTTAAAAATCTATTGATTGTAAATGAACTATGTTGACTTTTACTGTTTACATTGTAAATTTATTACGATAATCATGATGAATATATTAATATATCGGTTGATCCGACTTTAAATATACAAATAACACATTGAATCATTTCACTTTTTAGTTGTCACAGTTTTTAAGTAGCCGTCCATATAAGAATTATGCAAAATCCAAATTTTGTGAATCACTTCATGTCAGGCTACACAAGTTTATTTTGGTCTATCAGTTGAGATATAGGTGAATATGAAAGGAATGAGTAACATTTTCCATTTACTGCCTTACAAGGAAAGATAATGGAAAAACATTTTACGAAAGATTCTATAAGATATTATTGGAGTAATCTCCTTCAACATAAGTTTTATAATGCATTCTATAGAATATATATCTCACCTTGTAAGGGTCCATATAAAATCTATATATGAATTTCACCACAATTCATTATCCTAAATAAGATAGCAATAAATTCTATTTGCAGGCTTTCCACCCATGAATCACACTTTGCATGATTCTTATATAGGCTGGAATTAAGTGCATATAATAAATTCATTTATTGATTGATTTATTTATTGGTGTTTAATGCCACTTTCAGTACAATTGTGCAATTTTGTGGCGGTCAGTTTTTGTTGGTAGAAGCCTGAGTGCCCGGAGAAAACCTCTGACCTTCGGTAGGAAAAACAACAAACCTAAACGTCAATTAAGATTGGAGTTCAGCTCACCTGCCACATGTGGGATACGAACTCACAACCTCGGTGTTGACCTCCTGGTGATACAGAAGGTTGACTACTTAAACCACTCAGCCCTTTGTTTCATTTAAAGGTCTTTTCTTATTTATCAGTGTATATAAATATGAAAAAAATGTTGGTGGTAATTTCAGGTAGGTGCTTGACTATCATACAAATGTCTGGTGGTCTTTGTTTAAAACAAGTATGGAAAAAATCCAAATTATTGGCTCATATTGCAGATATGTTAAAAACTTGATTTTTTAATAACAAGTACCAAATATTTCTTCATATCAAAGAATATATTCTCAAATTAAAAACACTAGTGTGTGTTTGTTTGCTGTGAATTTCACTATACATGTATTACAAATCTAAAACAAAAACAAAAAATCCATTGATAAATCAGTTTTATGTTACTGCAGATGGAACAAAGAAAAATAAAGTAATCGACCCCATCCTAGGGTAAAAAATAAAAATAAACATTTCATATGAAGAAATCATTTGTAAATTATTACAATATCATCATAAACAAGGTTTCTTTTCTGAAATCTTTCATTGCCAAACTTTTCCCTACATTGTTCACTATTCATGGATGATATTCTCTTAATTTTCTTTAATATATACCCTGGACTCTGAAAGTTCATTAATGACAGCAAGTACGCCATTGTGTCCATTTTCACTGGCAATTTGTATGGGTGAGATTCCAATATTGTTACATTTATTATAATCTGATCCCTTCTCTAACAGCATTCTTACGATATCTATAAGATTATTCTGACAAGCAATATACAATGGAGATGCTCCAGATTCTTTACACTTATTAATGTCTGCCTTTCTGTCAAGTAATATCTTAACTACTTCTACATGATTATTCTGACAAGCAATATACAATGGAGATGCTCCTGAATCTTTACACTTATTAATGTCTGCCTTTCTGTCAAGTAATATCTTAACTACTTCTATATGATTATTTTGACAAGCTATATACAAAGGAGATACTCCAGAATCTCTACACTTATTAATGTCTGCCTTTCTGTCAAGTAATATCTTAACTACTGCTATATGATTATTATGACAAGCTATAAACAAAGGAGATGCTCCAGAATCTCTACACTTATTAATGTCTGCCTTTCTGTCAAGTAATATCTTAACTACTTCTATGTGATTATTCTGACAAGCAATATACAAAGGAGATACTCTCCAATCTCTACACTTATTAATGTCTGCCTTTCTGTCAAGTAATATCTTAACTACTTCTACATGATTATGATAACAAGCAATATACAAAGGAGAAGCTCCAGAATCTTTACACTTATTAATGTCTGCCTTTCTGTCAAGTAATATCTTAACTACTTCTACATGATTATTATAACAAGCAATATACAAAGGAGAAGCTCCAGAATCTCTACACTTATTAATGTCTGCCTTTCTGTCAAGTAATAGTTTAACAACATCTATATAATTATTGTGACAAGCAATATACAAAGGAGATATTCCATGATAATTACCATTATTAATGTCAACTCCATGATTAATACACCATTGAATAAAAAAAATATCATCAATGTCACAACACTGAAATAGCACAGTATATTTGCAATTAACATCACAGGTCAGAGCCAATCGTCTCTGGAATGATCTATCAAGTGTATTCAAATAACAAAGAAATCTTTGTCTGAAGTTTGGTATCTTCATATTGATGTTATTAAACACAATCTGTACTTGTCCTTTAGACCAGTCATCAATCATTCTCTGTATGTACATCAGATGGTATTCAGGTGGTACAATAGTGATAAACTGGTCCATGTCATCTATTCTGTCTAATAAAAATCTTTGCATAATAACAACAGGGTGTGCATTCTTGATCAAACACTGGATCATTTTTTGTCCAAAATAGTATGCAAGTAAGTCAAATAATTTATCATGTTTTGTTTTGAATACATTTTGCTCTTTCTTAATGAAAGTATGTTCAAGTGAATTTAGTTCATCAAGTAGGACAAGTCGTGATGTTCCTCTCTCCAGTCTACTTGCCTCACATGTGTTCTTTATTCTCTTTGTTTTTTTTTCATCTATCTCCTCTGTCAACCACTCCTCCTTCAAGTTGTTGTTGAACATAACACACAAAGCCAAACCACAGTATTTTCCATTATGCCCGTTTTTATCAAGCTTGTCAATTTCAGCTGTGTACACTGAAAATGGATTTTTGAAGAAGTCTGTAATATTGAGTTCAGGATTATCTTTATACAGTTTACAGAGAAGTGGAAAACAATCATATAAATCACAGTACTGAATTATTTCAGAAGCTTTTGTTTCAAGATATAATTTTGCTATTGACTGTTTCTCTGTTTTTAATAAACACAAATCTTCACTTAACAGGTTACATACACATGTTCTAAAAATGGGTAAAGATTCAAACTTTTTATCTTGGTAAATTTGTAAACGACATGCAACAATAACTTTTGTTTGTTTATTTTGCATCATTACTTTTACATGTTCCATAACTGGTTCCCAACTTTCAAGGTCTGACTTGTTTATGGAATAAGTTCCACAGAAGTCATCAATAACAAACAGTGTTTTCTGATTTGGATTACAAAACTGAACAATGTCATTTGGATTAGTTACTGGCAGTATATTGTACCCTTCTTCTTTCATTTTTAATGCCACATGTCGTAGAGTACATGTCTTCCCAGCACCAGAACTAGCCGTAATTGTGACACAGTTTCTTTCCAGAACACATTTAAATACAGCTTTCATAGCTCTGGTTTCAGCTACAGTATCCGGGTTCTTCTGCCATTCATCCAACAACTTATCGATCAGCTCTGAAATGTAAAAATAAAATATGAACCAAAAAACCCAGAATAGCTTAAATACTATATTAAAACTGATAGCAAACGATAACACAAAGTAGAAAGAAACATGGGGCACTACTCATCGGTTGGGTCAAAATCCCTTATGCACCTTAAAGTGACAAACTCAAAAGTAGTGTGTTAACAAAAAATCTCTGTGCAGTGATATTGGACTTGTTTCAGTTTTTAACAAGGGACTACTGAGCTTAACCATTTGTGCTGATTTGGATATTAGAGGACCATAGAATAAAGGTGTAAAAACTATAGAGTTCTTAAATGTATGCAAAGACCTAATTTTCAAAAGAACTTGTGTACTCGTGATATTTTTGCTATTTAAAAGTTTCTATCTATCTATCATAGTTTTCAAGATAAAAGGCAAAAATTCTAAAAATTGTGAAAAATCATCATTAAAGGGCAATAACATCAATAAGGTGTCAACTGACAATTTCGATCATGTTTTACTTACTTATAGATTATGTCTTGCTGGTCATTTTTGCGATTTATGGTTTCTTTCTAGCTATCTACTATAGTTTTCGAGTTAATAGGCAAAAATGAAAAAAAAAAAAATGGTAAAAATTCGTCGTTTAAGGGCAATAACTTGTATAAGAATTATTCTGATAGTTTTGATGTCCTAGACATTAGATAGCTCTCATTATTTTGAAAAAAATATGCCCGTCAGATTAGCGGTTTTCAAGATAAAAGACAACAAGAGTGCACACGCTGAAATGTCTCGCCTTCTTTACTAACCATTGATTTTATGTTGATAGTCCTAAATGTAAAGTTTTACTACAAGTAACACATAAACTTAACATGATCCAAGAAAATGAGTTCAAGGTCAGATAAACCAAACGAGAAATACATGTACACCTTACAATCATTCAATAAACCAAACATAGTTGACCTATTGCTTATAGTTTCTAAGAAACAGTCTTAACCAAGAAAACTTAACATTGACCAATGAACCATGAAAATGAGGTCAAGGTCAGATGAACCATGCCAGACAGACATGTACACCTTACAATCAATTTATGCATTAAATATAGTTGACTTATTGCTTATAGTATCTAAGAAACAAACTTAACCATGAAATTTAACATTGACAAATGAACCATGAAAATGAGGTCAAGGTCAGATTATACCTGCCAGACAGACATATAAACCTTACAATCATTCCATACAACAAATATAGTTGATCTATTGCTTATAGTTGAAGAAAAACAGACCAAAACACAAAAACTGAAAACTGAGAAATGAACCGTGAAAATGAAGTCAAGGTCAAATAAAACCTGCGAGACTGACATGTACATCATAAAATATTTCCATACACCAAATATAGTTGACCTATGATTGCATATATTATTAGAAAAAAGACAAAAACTCAAAAACTTCACTTTGACCACTGAACCATGAAAATGAGGTCAAGTTCAGATGACACCTACCAGTTGGACAGGTACACCTTATAATCATTCCATATACCAGATATAGTAGACCTACTGCTTATAGTATCTGATATATGGACTTGACCACAAAAACTTAACCTAGTTCACTAATCCATGAAATGAGGTCGAGGTCACATGAAAATTGTGTGACGGGCATGATGACCTTGCAAGGTACACACATACCAAACATAGTTATCCTATTACTCATAATAAGAAAGAAATTAACATTACAAAAAATGTTGACATTTTTTTTAAGTAGTCACTGAACCATGAAAATGAGGTCAAGGACAATGGACATATGACAGACGGAAACTTCGTAACATAAGGCATCTATATACAAAGTATGAACCATCCAGGTCTTCTAGCTTTTAAAATATAAAGCTTTTAAGAAGTTAGCTAACGCCGCCACCGGATCACTATCCCTATGTCGAGCTATCTGCGACAAAAGTCGCAGGCTCGACAAAAATTGTATTTTACCCCTATGTTCTATTTTAGCCATGTCTGCCATGTTTGTCAGCAAGCGGGGTCATGGGAGATGAACTTTGTAAAGTAAACAGATGAAGACGACAGACACAGGACGCCAAGTGATGACAAAAGCTCACACTGGCCCTTTGGGCCAGCTGAGCTAATAAAGTCATCTTTGTACAAGCCCATCCAGCTTTTTTTAAATTTTTATTTCCATTTTTTTCAAATCAAATCAATGCACTCACTCAGTCTTTATTTAAAACATTATATCTGTAGCAAATGTGAATCATGTATATAATAAGATTAATTGAATACCTCTTCTGTTTTTAGGCACATATTCCTCGTGAAGAGATGACAGCTCTTTCAAATCAGTTCTTGTTTTTACTGAATCGCCTTGAAGTAAATCATGTGATTTTTTCAACATCTCACAATCTGATTTTAAAGACAGGACATTCATCTTCGTGTCCAAGTGATCAAATTGAAGCAATTCATGTGATTTTCCCATACTCTTCTGCTCTATCTCTATTGTTTTCACGTCTTCTTTAACCATTTCAATATAATTTTTTGATCCAGCATGTTCATGTTGAAGCAAATCATGAGACTTTTTCAAACTTTCATGATGTGATTTTAATGTTTTCATATCATTTTTTACCTCTGTATGATCAGTTTGAATCAAATCAATTGATTGTATAATTGTTTGAATGTCTTTGTTGGCTTGGTGTAAGTCTCGTACGATTTCCTGGCTTGACATGTCCAGTGGTTTAGTCATTAGCTGATCACATTCCTGCTTCATTGTAATCCCTCCTAGTCGAAGAACAGCCTGGAAAAATATACCAAATCAGTTGTCAAAATAGTCTTATGTTTTGGTTTATTTGTTTTTGGGTTGCTCATTGACTTTTACCCCACATCTCCTTGTATTCATATGTTTGAAGTTTTAATTATTGTTTTTGTTTGTTTAAAATTATGTTTGTAAGATAGATTCACAAAACCAAGATTAAACAACTAAAGCCATTTAAAGGATCATAGACATGTTACACTTGTCTATATTATATGTCAAGCTCTGAATTATATATTTAAATAAAAATTGTTGAGAAATTAAATTAAATTTTAAAAAAAATTAAAAGAAAAAGATCCAAGGCCGTAACTACCATTGAGGCAAGTGAGGCAATTGCCTCACTAAAATTTTGACACTGAATTTTTTTCTGTGTACATGTATTTGTTTATGGTAATTAAATACGAAATGTAGTCATTTGTTTTTTTCTGTCTTAACCTTAATTTCCATAACTTGACATCATTCCTTTTAAATTATTCCTACCGTATATAACTCAGCATCTCAGTCACCGCTTGATTTTTCTCGATTACATTAACCTAGTAACCGGTAATTCATCATGGATCTCTAGTTAAAAACAGGCTCTTGCAGAAAAAGGAAAAGCGATACTAAAGGTGAGGAAGGAATAATTTTAGTAAACTAATGGATGTTATTTGTGATCACAACCGGCGTTAAGAGTTAGTATTGAATATATTTTCACTAATCCAAAAACTATAAATAAACTGACAAAATCAAGTACTGGGGCACAGCACGGGAGCACTCTAGTCTGAGTATTTATTTCCATGTTTTCCCAAACTTTATTCGTTCTTAAAAATTGAGAGAACATATCGTAATTCAATTTTGGCATTATTGAGGGACGGTAGGACCTTGAAAACGGGATTTCGTGTTTTCTAATTCGGAACTAGGGGATTTCGTGTCTTTCAATTCAGGATTTCGGGATCAGACTCCCTCCTACCCCCTCATTATTCGATTGTCGATCTAAAATATCTTACCACTGACTATTTCCAGATATAATCTGAAATCACGGACCTATATGTAAATAGCGAAAACTCCAGTCCAATTTCCCGGTATCCATAAAAAAAAAATCAATTGTCCTAGAATAACATAAAACAATATAGTTGTATCCAATTTTCCGTAATCATAACATAAAAAGGTATCATGTGGCAAAAAAAAAAACTAAAAATAATATTCCTAAAATAACATAAAATGACATAAGGATACCCCATATCTCAGTGAATTCAGATGACAAAGATATATTGATTATCCTATATTCCTGAAGGTGAAATTGCAAAGTAGATCCCAATATACCCTGTTCGAGGCTTAAAGCTTAAAATTGATATTTAGCTCTGTCCGCAATGAGTTTGAAATTAAATCAAACCGTGACATCTTCAAACTTTGCAACGATGCCAAGCTCTCTGGAAATGCCCAGAATGCAGGATTTTACACCATTTATCCCAGACCCCATACCGTTTTTTTTTTATTTTGATTTGCTCCGCTTACTGATCAGTTCTGCCTCACTAAAATAATATGCCCAGTTACGGCCTTGAAATCTGCCCTTAACATCAATTTCTTTATGTAGCAAAATAAATGAAGAATGTGTCCATGGGACACAGATGCCCCCGCTTGTAAATAAACGGCAAATCCTACAATAAATCAATTTACAAAAGGACATTACTCAAGAAGAGCAAAAGTGACGCAATCGAAATTCGAACTTGATCTGTGTTTGGTGGTAATAAGCATTGTGTAAAAGTTTCATAACATTAGGTTGAGGCAAACTAAAGTTACAGTGCGGAAACGACAAATTTAGCAATTTTTCCGTTTATAAAGGGACATAACTGGCGAACGATGAAAGTGACGCCTCCCAAATTCAAACTTGATCTGTGGTTGGAGGTTATAAGTATTGTGTATAAGTTTCATAAAATTTGGTTGTGGCAAACTAAAGTTAGAGTACGGAAACGTCAAATTTAGCAATTTTTCTAGTTATAAAGGGATATATGGAAAGAAAATTATTAACAACCCAACTTCAAGGATATCCACGTGACGTGCTTAAACAAACGTATTTGTAATGCCTCTACAGCCAGATTGTTTAACAAAAATGCGCGTGGATATCCACAAATTTTCCCGTGCAATGCCAAAAAGTGACTAACCTGTTTTAGATCAACTTCACAAAATACTGTACGGTCAACAGTGAACGGGAGAGCTTTTTCGCTCTCCTTTTCCTGTGACATTACCTGAAAAACTCAAAACCTTATATATGTGGTAACTTGAACCACACCTAAGTGTGGTATTCAATATGTGGGACAGACGGGACGAGCGTATTACAAAAGAAATCAAGAACACCTTTACCGCTTTCGTAGACCTAAAAAATTCAAAAGTTTGATATATCAATATTTAGATAAGCATAATCACAATCTAAAATTTATTAAATTCCAATCACTTGAAACCGTTCAGAAACAACCAGGAGAATCACAAAAGCAATGTGAAAAATCACGTGAAGTTCGCGAATTATTTTGGATAAAAAGACTTCAAACAGCTTATCCTCTCGGTCTTAATGACAAAATATTAGGACAGGGGAACATAACTAAAACTTCAATCGATGTCATTAATATTGTCGATAAACGACTTAGAAATAAAAGGTCTCATGCGGCAAACGCAAAAACCGTAATCAACGTATTAAACATCGCATAAATTATACACTTGCTGATCTGTTATCTATAATAAAAAATAATGGCAGACATCAAGTATTATGCAAACTGGGTCAGATACCAATAAGTAAATTATATGCTATTTTTCTGGAGTGTGATATAATTTCTTTTTTTAGCCCAATGTATGAATACACCCATATTATTACAGCCTTTTGTCATCATAGGCTATTTCCTAGTATCGATAAACCTGAAAATCATAAACGGCATTTTCTTAAATTGAAATATATAAATAGAGGTATTGATTTTATTAACTTATCTAGTATATTCAATAACTCAACCATCCAAAGCCAAATACCTCCATATTTTGATAATATAGAACCACCTATTATTTCGTATTCTTATAAAAAAAACCAGCAGAAGTTTGATTTTTAATTATACGTCAGTTACATCAGACGTCAATATAGAAAATAATGTTCCTTCCACTTGAGATTGTGAAACATCTAGTTTTAGATATGTTCCCTATGGTCATGTCCTTACAGGAGACCTCAACATCGTCGAAGACCGTGAGGTCATAACTTTTCTTAAGAAAGGACCGAAATATCGTCCTCCATCTAAAATAGATTGGAAACAGTGTCGTCAGATCATTAAAGACGCTCTGTCTGTCTACTGTAAAAATTGGTGTAAACGTGAAAAATCTGATAAAAAATCTCTAGACAGTTATTTGAATAAAATTATGAATACTGTTAATATTCGTATATCTCATTTTGAAAACAATTCTGAAACTAGTAATAGGGTCCATGATATTCCCATTTCCAGAATAAAGAATAAACTCCAAGTACTCACAAAGCGGTTTGTGTTCGTACCGGCAGACAAAGCAGCAAATAATGTAGTGGTGGTGTGACGCATATACTACACGGAAGTTCTCCAAAACGAAATTACAAATTCATCTACATTCAGGTCCGTACGCTCCACAGAGAGTCAAATTGTAAACAAGCATATCACTGCCACTACCCAGCTTAAGGCCTCTTCCGAACATTTGAAAGTCCCTACTATGTACTGGTTACCTAAATTGCACAAAAAGCCATTTAAATTCCGTTTCATCTCCGCATCTAGTAAGTGTTCTACTACTAATCTATCAGTGCTTCTAACTTCCTCCCTTACTACTATCAAAGAACTTGTTATTAACTTTTGTAATAAAGCTTATGAAAATAATGGTATTAATTATTTTTGGAGTGTTAAAAATTCTTTAGAGGTTTTAGATAAAATACATGCTTTTGATGGTCCTTTTAATTCTGTTGACAGTTATGGTTTTTCTACTCTCTATACTACACTTCCACACAATCTTATCAAGAAAAAGTTTTCATATTTAATTAAATGGTCTTTTGAAAAATCTCATTACAAATTTATTTGCTGTAACTCGTTTAAAGCCTTTTTCTGTAACGAAAAAGGAAAGTATGCTAGATACACTTACTGGAAAAGTGAAGATATTATTGAAGCTTTAAATTTTCTCCTGGACAACATATATGTACGTTTCGGCGATAGAGTGTATCGACAAGTAGTAGGTATTCCTATGGGCACTAACTGCGCCCCTTTAATAGCAGATTTATTCCTGTATTGCTATGAATCTCAGTTTATGACCAAACTCAGTAAAGACACGTCATTGTTACATTTGGTTGATACATTCAACAATACCTTCCGTTATCTAGATGATATTTTTTCGTTAAATAATCCAGAGTTCTCTAAATATACTACCGAAATTTACCTAATATAACTTACTTTAACTAAATCTAACATAAACAGCAGTAGTTGTCCTTTTCTGGATTTGGACATTTCAATCTCTAAAGGAAAACTCCATACGAAAATTTACGACAAAAGAGACGATTTTTCATTCCCTATTGTTAATTTTCCTTTTTTAGACGGCGATGTTCCTTTGGCTCCATCATACGGTGTATATATATCCCAACTCGTTCGTTATGCCCGTGTGTGTAGTGATGTCATAGATTTTAACGAACGTAATCAATGCATCACTGGTAAATTATTAAATCAAGGATTTCGTTACCATAAATTACGTAAAACTTTTGCTAAGTTCTTTCACAGATACAAAGATTTGATTAGTAAATTTGGCTGTACTTGTAGAAAACTGATTAAAAACGGTATTTCACATCCTAAATTTTACGGTAATATTGTACTTAAAGCGCGGAAATCACTATGTGATCCGTGTAAACTCATCGAACCTTTAAACAAACTTATTAGTAAAGGTTATCTTACCAATGTTGTAATTAGATCTTTGAATATAGTTTACATTGGCACTAATATAGATTTTGTCATCAGCAAATTAAAACATAACTAAATTTGTATTTTCTTTTCAAACGGGATGTATAAAGACACACCCACGTTCGTTTAGATCTATAAAGAGGTTAAACTCCTAACTATCCTACTGTCTGTCGATACATTTATTTTTGGCATTGCACTAGTCCTGTCTTCTTTGACTGTCTATGACGTTAAAATACTAAATCCCTGGGATGTGTTTTAGTTGATTTTAGTCTCTGATGCATGATTTTTTATTATTAATTGTTTTGGCTTTTAACTAGCTGTCAGTAACTGCGAGTACTCTCAAATCGTACTTTCTTGTTTATTTGACCTGTTGATACTAATTGTATTGCTTTTTTGTTATTTAATGTTATTCAGGGTTATATCTGGTCTATATACCAGCTTTGATAAGTGTTTGGTATAACTATAAATTTTCACTTCGTACTATGAACATCAAAATTATTTATTTTGTAAAAATATTTCCTTTCTCTATTGGTACTGTACACGTATACCTAACAACAAAATTATTTTCATTTACCTGTGTTTAAAGTTATTGCAAATGGATGGTATTTTTGTTCGAGCATATTGTTTTTCTTTAATTGTTTAACATTTCTTACCGATATAACAAGTTACTTTTATTATTCTTCCCTTAGTTTATTTATTTTGTATTTACATTGTGTCATAGGTCAAATTTATTTGTTCAGTGTATGTTCAATGGTGTTAATATGTCCTTTGATTGAGTTAAGCTATTTCAGTTGATATTTTATAGTGTGTCTTTCTATGTTGTGATGTTACACTATTGTTTCAGAAAAAGGGTGAAGGTTTGGTACCATTAAAACGTTTAAACCCGCTGCATTTGTTTGCACCTGTCCTAAGTCAGGAATCTGATGTTCAGTAGTTGTCGTTTGTTGATGTGGTTCATAAGTGTTTCTCGTTTCTCTTTTTTTATATAGATTAGACCGTTGGTTTTCTCGTTTGAATGGTTTTACACTAGTAATTTTTTGGAGCCCTTTATAGCTTACTGTTCGGTGTGAGCCAAGGCTCCGTGTTGAAGACCGTACTGTGACCTATAATGGTTTACTTTTATAAATTTTGACTTGGATGGAGAGTTGTCTCATTGGCACTCATACCACATCTTCTTATATCTTTATAATTGGAGAACGGTGAAAGTGACGCCACCCACATTCAAACTTGATATGTGTTTGGTGGTAATAAGCATTGTGTATACGTTTGAACGTTCATAACATTTGGTTGAGGCAAACTAAAGTTAGAGAACGGAAACTAATTTTAGGACGTACAGATGGACAAGGGTAAAACTTAATGACCCCTCCATCACGGCGGGGCATACAAAAATCTAGGAAAAAATCAATCATTTAAAGGATTAGTATAGCAGGAAGGATTGGAATCTCGCGTCATCTCCCTTATTATTAGTATTGCTTATTTGAGATGGAAACTAGTTGACGTTTGATTGTGTAGAGCATTGGTGACTGATGCAATATTTCTCTTTGCAGTCTGCATCGCACTGAACGATTAATTATAAAAAGTATTTCCGAAAAACCTGTTAGTTGTTCTCTGAATAGAACTTATCATCCATATAGTAAATTTATAAACGATACTGTGATGAAAAATCTAATAAGTGTTATTTAAGTTATTTCTAATGTGTTAGTATTATCCATTTTTAAACTAAAATTGTCCTATTCTATCTTCTATCAATGTCATTCTGACTCTCTTAGGACTTAACATATAAAATTGAAATATACATAATTCCATAAAACATTTATTTTGAGCAAGAAGATTGACCAATCAGAAACCTGGATATATATTATTAATCATTAACTGATATGTCAACATTGTCATTTCACTGTGAGAAGACGAAATAATTTACGGTTGACCGACTAAGAAGGCCTACTACGAATGATTCCAAAAACAGAAATGACGTGTTATACACCATATTGTAGATAATGTGATGTAGGTTTACGACATAACAAGTTTTAGTGGGATAGACAACAACGGAATCGAAATATAATGGAAGTTTGCGACTGAGTTTCATTACTTGATAATGCGAGTTGGGTACCTTGTGTTACATTAAAGTATATAGGTAAAAAAAAATTAGAGACAAGTTCACGTGGGGACAAACCTTTGCAAGCCTCATTCTGACCTGTGATTTTTTTCAGGCAAGTAAAACCTCAATACTTTCTAGTCCTTTTAGACAAGTGGCTTCAAAAGTTTTAGGTGCAGAAGGGCAGGAACCAAAGCACCTGTATCATCTACTCTTCCCCTGGCGGTAGGTGACATCGCTACAACAATAATTTACCAATGTTCAGATCTGATAAACCAATAAAGAAAATACAAATTCAGATAAAAAAAAAAGCCAAAAACCTGAGTTAATCACAAGATCTTCAAATGTAGCGAGATCAGATGTGCCAAAAGAGTAGATGTCTCCTATTAAGCATACCATAGTTAGTCGTGTATAATCCGCATTTTTTAACCCAAAATATGTATTTGGTAAACGGGGTGCGTATTATACACAATTGTAGACGGTTTTCGATTTTTATTTAAAAGAAAATTTTTTTTTTCTTCATTATTGAATATTCAAAGTACAGGTGTGACATCTTGCATGAGTAATCTAAAGGGGTAATTAAGGATTAAGTATGGGTTTGTAGCAATTAAATAAGCATGTCAACTTTTGGCAGGTGTTCAAACTACAACCAATGCAAATCAGCAATCAATCCATGTGTCACAATAGGGAAAAGGGTGAAATAGGTAAATATATATATACTAGAACACACCCGCTGGTCTGTGACTGAATTAAAGTACCTATGCCTTATTTTCAGCCTGGGTTTTTAGTATTCGTATTGTAATTTGATAAAGTCATGCTGATTATAAAGTGCACAGTTTTCTCTGCTTTCAAAATCTTTCTGTTTGAGTCCGTCCTGGCTTCCTACTACAACCGGAAACTACTTGTAGATATATTGTTTTGCTCAATGATTGAATTTAGTGGTGTCAATCCCTGTATAATGACGAAGTTCAAGTGTGATTATGACCCGTGTATATAGCAAATCCCAAATACACCGTTTGGTGGTGCGCCTGACAGGCGGAACGTACAGATTAGGTAACAGGTAACAGGTACTATTGGTATCGGTATCGGATTCGACCCGGGACTTGTTAATTATTGGTAATATTAATTATGTGGAAAACAAAAGGGCCTGGAATGGTGTAATTTTTAATCAAAAACCATTGTCCTATATTACTTATATATAAAGTTGAATTCTTTGATTCGTCGTTTTTACGTCATGCCGGATTACAAATTGGACCTCGTTATTTTAGTAGTATAGATATAGGGGTTAGCTCCAGGTTTTACTTACATTACTTATATCCTTCCAAGCTGTAGTAAATAATGTGCCATCTACATTTCCATCATGAAGATGTGCCAAAAAGTTTCTATAATGTTTAATTCTCGCTAAATCTGAGGCAGGGGTTGTTTCTATAGTAACGGGTAGTTCGTCATATCCATTTATAGGAGGCACCAAGGGCAAGGTTGTCAGATTCCTTAGCAATGCTATCATCAGCGTCACATCAAAAGTCTTAGAATCAGTGACACCTGGTAACAGAAAAAAAATAATTTTAAAAAATGTTAGTAAATTTTTCAAATTGTCAGCAAATCTTTCAAATCATATTTTTAGATGGAACATGCCGCAATCAAACATCAGATTAAAGTTTTCATACTTTGCCTAAATGTAAATTACCATCCTGCCTTTAAAAAAAACAAAAGTCAATGCTTTGTAAATATTCTATTTTTTTAGTTTAAATCCGATAACTAATAAAAATTATTTCAAACACTAAGGTTTTTCTACAAACAGACATATGATTATAAAAATAAGATGATGACACCAACAAACATGTTAAACCCTGCCACATTCTGCATGTGCCTATCACAAGTCAGGAGCCTGTAACTCAGTGGTTGTCGTTTGTTGCTTTATATCTTATTGTTTTTCGTTTACTGTTTTGTACATAAATCAGGTTGTCAGTTTTCTCAACTGATTTGGTAAACATTTGTCATTTTGTGGGGGGTTTTGTATCTTACTATGCGGTACGGATTTTAGCTCATTGTTGAAGGCCGTACGGTGACCTATAGTTGTTAACTTCTACACCATTTTGTCTCTGTTGGAAAGTTGTCTCATTGGCAATCATACCACATCTTCTTATTTTTATGTTACCAATGCTAGGAAACAGGATGATTCCATTGTACCTGTTTTGTTACATATTCTTCTATCTGCTTGTAACTAGGATTGAATGATTGATTGGTTTGTGTTTAACGCAACTTTCAACACTATTGTGCTATTTCATGGCGGTAAGTTTTTATTGGTGGAGGGAGCCGAAGTGCCCAGGGAAAACCACCAACCTTCGGTAGGAAAACTGACAATCCTAGTCAATTAAAATTGGAGTCGAGTGCACCTACCCTGTGCGGGAGTCGAACTCACTACCCCAGTGTTGACAGGCTAGTGATACAGTAGTTCGACTACTTAGACCACTCGGCCACCGAGGCCCCGCTTGTAACCTGAGGAGACACCATTCCGAAAAGTGTATTAAACATACTTACAATTGTTGGGAAACATGAGATCCCACTGTCAATTACTGTGCCTGGTTTATTACACAAACTTACCACTGCTGGAAAACAGAACATTGTCAGATTGTGCTTTGTTTAGTACTCGTTTTTTTAAATCTCAAGTCGTTTTGCATATTTTTCCTATAATTCACAGTCGCTGTGTCTGGTTTAATACACATACTTACCACTGGAAAACCAGTATGGAACCACCATTTTGTCACAGGGTCACATTCAAAAATTACCTCAGGTCACTATATCACTTTAAAACAAATTTGAAACCAACAGCCATCCACACAACATATTTTAAAAGATGTTTAAAGATCAAAGGTCTTTTTAAATGAGATGTCAGGTCGAAAGGTCGCCTCTTCCCTTGAAGTTTGACTACGTTGGAACACACTATTGGTAGGAAACATGAGATCCAATTGTACCTAGTTTATAACAAATACTTACCACTGCTAGAAAATATGAGGTATCACTATATCTGGTTTATAACATATACTTACCACTACTGGGAAACAGGAGATCCCACTGTGCCTGGTTTATAACATATACTTACCACTGCTAGGAAACATGAGATCCCACTATACCTGGTTAATTACATTTACTTACCACTGCTAGGAAACAGGAGATCCCACTGTGCCTTGTTAATTACATTCACTTACCACTGCTAGGAAACCGGATATCCCACTGTGTCTGGTTAATTACATTTACATACCACTGCTATGAAACAGGAGATCCCACTGTGTCTGGTTAATTACATTTACTTACCACTGCTAGGAAACAGGAGGTCCCACTGGGCCTGGTTTATAACATATACTTACCACTGCTAGGAAACAGGAGGTCCTACTGGGCCTGGTTTATAACATATACTTACCACTGCTAGGAAACAGGAGATTCCACTGTGCCTGGTTAATTACATTTACTTACCACTGCTAGGAAACAGGAGATCCCAGTGTGCCTGGTTTATAACATATACTTACCACTGCTAGGAAACAGGAGGTCCCACTGGGCCTGGTTTATAACATATACTTACCACTACTAGGAAACAGGAGGTCCCACTGGGCCTGGTTTATACATATACTTACCACTGCTGGGAAACAGGAGATCCCACTGTGCCTGGTTTATAACTCGTTTTCCTCTCAAGTCATTCAGCTTTTTCTTCTTATTCTTATCATTTACAGTAATAATTAAAGATGCTGGAGGAAATTCTTTATCAAACAGGACACGAACTGCACGTGGTGAAATTCCAGTCAGTAACAATGCTATTCGTACATAGTTTTCCTCTTCTTGTGCAAGAGCATTAGATGCCATCATGGTTGCTTTTGAATATGTCAGGATTATAGTTACTTAAATTCTTGGATCATATTATGTACTGTAATCATTGGTCTTTAGAGGCTTTTTGGCAATTGTGTGTTGGTCATTTATTTTACTGCGTTTAAAACTACCCGAACTTCAGTTAGATTCGGATCTATCAGATACTGCGCTGTTTCACATGGGTTTTTTTTTTGGACCAAAGCAGATTGATATGTTGGTATCAATATCTTTCTCCATGTTATATATACTAGTATATATATATTTATCATTTATCACATCTTTTTAACTACAACACGTCTTCTCAGTAGTTATAAAATGAGCCCTGAAAAGAAAAAAATAAGATGATCACAGTTAAGTTTTGTCCCAGAAAATTTAAACTGATTGATAATCACAAGCATATCGTCCCACAATTATTTTAAGCATATTATTATTAGAACATACTCACCCCTTCTCGTCCAATGAAAAGTCAGTTTTTTCCCTTCTAATTTTCATAGTACATGGCTTTCCATGCACTATAAAATGCTTTACATGAATGACTTTTCATTGTAGATTAATTATGAACTCTTAGTATATGTAAGAGAATGATAATCCCTTTCTTCATGAATAAGTACGAGCGTTAGCGAGTACTTATCATGAAGTAAGGGATTATCATTCTCTTACAAACTTAGAATACTGTAAAGTGCTCAAGGCTCAAATGATCTATTCAAGAATTAGTTTCATTATCAGTGCAATGTTTATAATTGATGCATGACTTCCTTTTTCGGCATGTCATTTATGGATTAGTTTTAGTGATGTGAGGACTTTCTTATCAGTTGGGAAATATTTTTAAAAAAAAATGCGTTATAGATATTAGGTGACACAACAGTAGAAAGAAAAGGTAGGAATTGTATGTTTCCTGATTGTGAGTATGAATGTAAATCATGTAATATTTTAGTGAGGAATTATCCTTTTTTTATTTACAGTTTATATCAATTAATACATTTGAGTTACAACTAAATTTTATTTCACAGCCAATAATTTGGTCCGGATTTTTACATCAAATACTGTTTCATTATGTCAGGGAAATGTTCAAAAATAATGCCCTTAAAAGTTTTTGATATGTTCAAAATTAAATTCCTGTTTTTTTTATCGGAATACATGTATTGGAAATAACTATTCTCCCCAACCGCTGATCAAGTAATCAAAGTTTTGGAAAGCTAAAGATTTAGGTTATTTTTTATCTGAAAGATTGTTTTCTTTTTTTTTTTTACATTGCTTTGGTATTGTTTAATTTTATATTAATTTAAAGTTATTGATATTTTCATAATAAAATTCACGGTACCAATTTTACTGCACCAGTAAACTTCAACTTATTTTGAAATTTTTGTTTGTTTCACAATTCAACTTTTAGTCAGTTTTAATCACTGTGTGATAAATCCTTTGAAGTTTCAATCTGATAAATGTGCTTCGGGGCAGTTGTAACTCATTTATAGAAACTTTTTGTTTTGAACTGTAAATAGACCCAAATAAAAGGATAATCCCTTACTAAGAACATGATTTACATTCATTCTTCACAATTAAGAGGCATCCAATCCTACAATTTCATTAGTCGAGAGTACTTTGCTATATTCTAAATAACTACACTAACGAAGTGTACAATCCCCTGAGGCATTTTCCTTGGGAAAATAGCCTACAGTAACTGATTAAAGATGAAAGAAAATAGAATTATAAAAAAACATTTTGAATTTTGCAAATGTTTATCATGGTACATATATATAACAAACAAAAAATGAAATGAGGACAAAGATTTAGGTAAAATAATCTTTTATTCAATTTTGATATCAGACATTCGAGTCAATTTGATGTTTACACTTTTATTTTATTACATTATCAATATAATACATGTTTTTATAATGTACTTGAATGATAAATTGAAACTAACTGATGACAAATGCTCAGTATATAAGATACCTTGTTTAACCAGTAGAACATATTTCACAGACAAGGATCTTATTTCACCAGGTGGGGAACAAATCTCACAAACCCAGAACTTATTTCACCAGGTAAGGAACAAATCTCACAAACCCGGATCTTGTTTCACTCGGTAAGGAACAAATTTCACAAACCCAGAACTTATTTCACCAGGTACAGTGTGGAACTTATTTTATAGAGATGGAACAAATCATATAGAAATTATCTGTGAAAAAAGTTCTCCCAGAACATATTTCCTGTGATATTAGTTCCACTGGAACTCTTTTCACAGGAAAAAATTTTGGCTCACATGTAAATTCATCAATAAAAAGTAAGTATCTGATGTTGAATGGTTGTAATTCAAATATTTATAGAGTGAGTTTTATAATTATCAAAAAATATACAAGTTTCAAAAAGCTGATTTATATAACATTGTGTGCTTTTTAAAATCAAGAAATTTAAGGTATATAAGTATTAAATTTTACCTGAAGCAGAAGAAAAACTCAATGTTTGAACAATTTATCCTTTTTGTCCTCACAAAACTATGTTATTGCTATTTCATTTCATCCAATGAAATGATCATTACCTATGTTATACATTCCTTTTGTTAACCTAGTTAACACTTCATTATAAAAAGTGAATTCTTATTAAGATTTGAATATTACAATGGGAAAGGATAATTTTGTAAGGTCACTCGAAAGTGTGAATATGTTCTAAATTGGTCAGACAATACTAAGTCATGTTTTATGAACATTTAAAACCCTCGGCTACGCCTTTGGCTTTAAATCTTCATAAAACATAACCAAGTATTGTCTAACCTTTACATAGTCACTGACTTGATTCACTAAAATTCAACAAGTTCACATTTTCATTTCTTATCTGTATGATTATAGAAACTGTTTCATGAAATAAAAACTATTAACCCGATATTATGCCATTTATATCCTTGAATTTATCTTCTAGAATTTGATTGTCTTAAATATTGTAAAAGTTTAGAATTGCACGATAGTAGAAAGTGGGTAATCAATATTATGTGTGTGCCTTTCCCTCATTAGCTACCCAATATCATGTGCTATGGTGTTTATAAAACAATGACAAGGTAGACAGTACATGTTGTTTGCATGAGCTTAACAGTGTACAATTACATATGGTGCAAAGTTTATTCCACTTTTAACAAACCAGTTCATTTATGAATGTAATATATATATATATTTATATATTTTTAAAAGAAGCTTTTGTTAAAGTTATACATTCCATTAGGTCTCTACCAAAAAGTAGGAGAAGAGGTCATGAAGCATTTAATTTGTACGTATATTGAGATCTCAAAGTGACTGACTAGTTTAATTTGACAAAAGTTATATATTAAGATTTGTAACCAGTTTACAATATAAACCAATAGCATAGCTTTGTTTCTAAACTGCAATGCACCTGATACTAACATTGAGTTGGGATATTCCAAAGTGTTTTCAGTTGTGTCCCAGAGCTATAGTAGGTTAACGATGCAACTCACAGATACCTTGGTGCTCACCATGACATAATAAGGAAATTGAAACAGAAGAGTACATACAACAACAAAATCCCACACAAAATCTGGACGTTCACAATTGTTAAATTTGTGTTTTTTTGTTTGTTTTTTTTTTTGTTTATGCCACTTTCAACAGTATTTCATTTTTATGTTGGAGACCTTTTTAATTGGCGGAGGAAGTATATGGAGAGAACCGGCATTCCTGGGTAGGCAACTTTATTACATAAGGGTGTATCAATTGCATTTTTTTCACCAATGCAAGAAAGTCCTACCCTATGTCGGCAACCATAAACAAGTAGATCTTCTTTCTAGCTGTAAACCAATTTAAATGCATTAATAGCATTTGTCGGTTATCTTGAACCTATTTATATGAACTGTCTTACGATCTTTTAAAATTTAGATAAAACAGATAATCTCTGTGTCTGTTTATAAATGTACATTTTGTACCTCTAGACCAGCATGCTCAAGTTGAATTTAAAGTGCTAGCTCACAGAAGTAACAGAACAAATTATATTGGCGACATCTGTCTTAGCAAGTCCTTGTCGTATCTCCATTGAATGGTGCCGATTTTGTGAAAATGCAGCAACTACCAATTTCAAAGTCTTTTGTTTGTCTATCATGGTGGGAACTAAATGAGACATAATAATTTGTAAAGGGCATCGTAATAAAACTTGATGATAACTTAAAATTCCATTGATCTAGTTCCTCAGGAAGAAATTTAGCCATTAAAACAAGATCTGCAGTTCATAACAAGAAAACAACACCCTTATGTCACAATAACAGTCCATAAGTTTTTTTGCTTTGCTTGATTACCACACAAAGATAGCTCTTCATTTCATGAAGGAACTTATTTTATGACTATGTTTAATAAACAAATAACAATTCTATAATCGTACACGATTTCTGCAAATTATTTTAATAATGCGTAAAATATGAGATCCCTGCTTCTATGAAGTGTGGAATTCCCACCATGACGTCACAAGGTTGGATATATCTGAAATATTTCGTAATATCGATTTTTCCGAGTTTTACGACCTGGTCTGTCATCAGAGTATTAGTAAGTACTAAACAATATAGATATTTCGAGCTCATGATGCTATGTGGATAAATTTGTCGGTTTTCAAGAGCCAAATTGACAGTGTGTCATCCCTACAATGGCTTCTATTTTTGTAATTAAAAAATAATTGCTGTAATAATAATAATAATTTTTATGATGTAGAATCCTGACTTTTTAGGGGGGAGGATTTTTTAAGAAAAGTTTACGGACGACTGACGACGGACAAATGGGTGGATGACAGACGCAATGTGATGGCAAAAGCTCACATGGCCCTTTAACCAGGTGAGCCAATAATCGCAATTCTATTCCTACAGGAAACATTCTTGTAAAACTAACATCTAGAAACACTAGAAAAAAGTTTCAAATAAAAATCGGAAAATTCGGAGCCGTGATTCTATGGAACAAAACATTTATTGGGCGTGGCCATATATGTTCTGAATGAAGTAACAAGAGTGCACACGCTGAAATGTCTTGAGTGCTCTACTGACCATGATTGATTTAATGTTGAAAGTCTTAAAGATAAAGGTTTTAATACAAGTATCACATAAAATAATTAACATTACCAATGATCGATCAAAATAAGGTCAAGGTCAGATAAACTCTCGCAGACAGATATGTACAATTTACAATCATTCCATACACCAAATATAGTTGACATTTTGCTTATAGTATCAAAGAAACAAACCAAACCATGAAAATGAAGTTAAGATCAGATGATACATAACAGACACACATGTACACCTTACAATCATTCCATGCCCTAAATATAGCTAACCTTTTGCATATAATAACTTAGAAACAGACTTAATCAGTAAAACTAAATATTGACCAATGAAACATGAAAATGAGGTCAAGGTCAGATGATACCTGCCAGACAAACATGTACACCTTACAATCACTCCTTACACTAAATATAGTTGACCGATTGCTTATAGTATTTGACTGAAAAACGGACTAAAACACAAAAAAATACATATGTCCAACGAACCATGAAAATAAGATCGGTGTCAGATGAAACTTGACAGACTGACATGTACCCCTTACAATCATTATATACATCAAATATATACATAACCTACTGCTTATAGTATCTGAGAATCGAAACTAATCACTTAACTTAAACATTGATCACTGATCCACGAAATGAGGTCGAGGTCAGGTGAACCCTGTCTGGTGGACATGTAGACGTTAAGAAACCCATATACCAAATATAGTTATCCTATTACTCATAAGAAATTTACATGACCAAAAACAAAACTAAACATTTTTTTTTCAACCAGTCGCAGAACCCTAAAAAATGAAGTCAAGGACAATGGACATATGACAGACAGAAACTTCGTCACATAGGGCATCTGCATACAATTATGAAGCATCAAGGTCTTCTTCCTTCTGAAATATAATGCTTTAAACAAATAGTTTACGCTACCGCTGCTGGATAGCAATAGTCTTGCATTCAGCGACATTTGACACAGGCCAGGCCAAAATCAACAGTTTTAATAAAAAGGTTGCATTTTTTTTAATTTTGGCATGCTTTTCAGAATGTCTTCTGATAATAGCAGACTTTCAAATCCGTGCACATTCCTGTACATTTCCTATTCAGTATTGACAGTCATTTCCTCAGATAAAATATTCAATATCTTCTTCTCCCATTATTCTATACACATGTATGCAGAAAACAGGTTGTGCATATTTTAGGGTTTATTTTTCAGCTTTGTTTGTTCCAATTCAAAGCAAATAAATGAATTGTAAAATTTAATTGTTATACCATCATAATGCTAAATAAACACAAAAGGGATGTCACCCATACTTGTCATGCTTGCGGAGAGATAATAAGGATAAAGCTTTTGCTCATTTCATTTGCGCAAAAATAATCTTTCATTTGCACAAAAAAAAACATATTTCTTTTGCGCCAAAATAACACATTTCATTTGTGCCAATAATCAGTAAAAAATCAGGAATATCATAATAACGAACAGGTATCTAGATATATTGGTCATCTAAGTACCCATAATGCACACGGAGGAATTTTAAGAATTATATGCATATGCATGTTCCTCGTGAATAACAATATGACGGACTTAATTATACAGAGTTATCTACCTTTCGAATACTAACACAAGATTTGTCATAATAAAACTGGTTAAGGTTAACAATTTAAAGTAATCATTATAGGTTTACCTAATTAAGATATTACACAAATCCTACAAGATGATGTGGACTACTTCAGACCTAAAAATAAATAATTCATTTAAAGGTTATATATAAACAAGTTCTAAAAACTACTTTGAAAATTTGATTCATAATAAAATGCAAAAAAAAAATGATAAAAAAAGTAAACTTTATTTATATAAGAACATTTTTTAGAACACCAAACTTTACATATTGAAAATAAAAGACAAAACAAAAAATTAGAGACAATAATTTAAATATAGAAAAAAGGAAGACATTCTAATATTCCTAGAGAGCCGAGATTATGCCTTAAATGTAACATATTAGAAGATGAAAGACATTTTTTTATTAGATTGTGAATTAAATAGCCCGGGTACGGAAGCGTATTAGTGCCATGGAAGCGTATTAGCGCCACAAATTTTATTTTTTTATATTTCTTCCTAGGTTTGCGTTATATAACGCAAACCTTTGCGATATAACGCAAATCTTTTGCGTTATAACGCAAACCTTTGCAAAATAACGCTAACCTTTGCGTTATAACGCAAACATTTGTTTATCTTATTTCTTATTAAAGTTTCAAGGGAAGCAGCTGTTATAAATGGAGGAGGCTGCATATATTAAAATTTCTCTAATTCTTACCCGATTTATCCTTTTCCCGACCTGTTGATTATTTTTGTTCAATCAACGTGTGGTTCGTTTGATCTCAGTTCTTCATTGGTCAAAATTCGATTATGACATCAAATTTTCTTGCTTTCCTCTGAAATTCCCATTGTGACGTCACGAAACTAGAGGCTCTCAAGAGCCTGTGTCGCTCACCTTTATCTACTGTGGTTTCTGAAATCATGTAAAATAAGGTTTAAATCATAATAAATAGAATTAGATACCCTCATAATGACTGAGGCCATGTTTGGTTTAATTTGGCCCAGTAGTTAAATTAAAGCAGGTCATCCCATTAGTTACTAGACTTACAATAGTTACTGAAGACCCCTTATCATAATTTAAATTAGTTTTCAAGTTGTGACCATTTGAATTTGTTTTTTTACAATTTTCCCTTAGACTTCTATAGTAAATCCCTATGTTCTATTTTTAGCCATGGCGGCCATGTTGGTTGGTTGGCAGGGTCATCGGATATATTTTTGAATCAAGATACCCTATTGAAAATTGTGGCTAAGTTTAATTCATTTTGTCCCAGTAGATTAAGTGGAGAAGATTTGTGTAAAAGATTGCAAAAATTTACGAAAAAAATTGACTATAAAGGGCAATAACTCCTTAAGGGGGTCAATTGAAAATTTTGGTCATATCAACTTATTCGTAGATCATACTTTGCTAAACATTATTGCTGTTTGCAGTTTATCTCAATCTATAATAATATTCAAGATAATAACCAAAAACTGCAAAATTTTCTTAAAATTACCAATTCAGGAGCAGCAACCCAACAACAGGTTGTCTGATTCGTCTAGAAATCTCATGGCAGATAGATCTTAACCTGATGATCATTTTTACCCCATGCCAGATTTGCTCTAAATGCTTTAGTTTCAGACATATTAGCCAAAAACTGCATTTTACCCCTATGTTCTATTTTTTGCCATGTCGGCCATGTTGGTTGGCAGACGGGGTCATTGGACAAATTTTTTAAACTAGATACCCTAATGATGATTGTGGCCAAGTTTGGTTAAATTTGGCCCAGTAGTTTCAAAGGGGAAGATTTTTGTAAAAGATTCCAAAATTTTACGAAAAATTGTTTCAAAGTAAATAGACCATGACTGAGGGGGCGGGGCCAAATATTCTCCATGGAAATGAGATGTGCTAATGCTTATACAACTGAACACCAACTAACATTGGCCTACCACTAATGGTTCCCCTTTAACTGACCTAATCACAAACTAATACATGTTAACTTAGCAAAATTTTCAAAGTCTATAGAACATGACTAAGGGGGCGGAAATGCTTTAGTTTCAGACATATAAGCCAAAAACAATTATGGTCATGTTGACTTATTTGTAAATCTTACTTTGCTGAACATTATTGCTGTTTACAGTTTATCTCTATCTATAATAATATTCAAGATAATAATCAATTAACTGTTATCACAGAGATATATCTCGCCTTTTTTTATTTTGATAATGCAAATGTTGAAATTAAAATAGCAATACTGTAACATGTAAGTTATGCAAATATTCAAAATCGATGAACCATGACTGAAGGTACATGGCTAAACAATCTCCATGGAATGAGATGTGTCAATGCTAATACAACTGCATACCAAATACCATTGACTTATTATAAGTCGTTCCCTTTAAACAAACCTAAACACAAACATTAACTTGAAAACTATGTAAAAGTTTCAAAGTCAATGAACCATGATCAGGGGTGGGGCTATATAATCTCCATGGAAACGGTACTTGCAAATGCCAATAAATTTGCATACCAAATATCATTGACTTAACATTAGCAGTTCATCTTAAACTGATCTAATCACAAACTAATACATGTAAAGTAAGCAAAAGTTTCAAAGTAAATAGACCATGACTGAGGGGGCGGGGCCAAATATTCTCCATGGAAATGAGATGTGCTAATGCTTATACAACTGAACACCAACTAACATTGGCCTACCACTAATGGTTCCCCTTTAACTGACCTAATCACAAACTAATACATGTTAACTTAGCAAAATTTTCAAAGTCTATAGACCATGACTAAGGGGGCGGAGCCAAAAAATCTCCATGGAAATGAGATATGCCAATGCTTATACAACTGCATACCAAATATCATTGACCTACCACTAGTGGTTCCCCATAAATTGACCTAATCACAAACTAATACATGTAAACTATGAAAAGTTTCAAAGTCAATAGACCTTGACTGAGGGGGCGGGGTCAAATAATCTTCATGGTAATGAGATGTGCCAATGCTAATACAACTTCATACCAAATATCATTGACCTACCACTAGTGGTTCACCATGAACTAGACCTAATCACAAACTAATACATTGTTGACGCCGCCGCCGGAAACAGCATACCTATGTCTCGCTTTTTGACTCCGTCAAGGCGAGACAAAAACTTCAAAATTTCCTTAAAATCACTAATTCAGGGGCAGCAACCCAACAACGGGTTGTCTGATTCGTCTAAAAATTTCAGGGCAGATAGATCTTAACCTGATGAACATTTTTACCCTTTGTCAGATTTGCTCTAAATGCTTTAGTTTCAGAGATATAAGCCAAAAACTGCATTTTACCCCTATGTTCTATTTTTAGCCATGTCGGTTATGTTGGTTGGCAGGCGGGGTCATTTGACACATTTTTTAAACTAGATACCCCTTATGATGATTGTGGCCAAGTTTGGTTAAATTTGGCCCAGTAGTTTCAAAGGGGAAGATTTTTGTAAAAGATTCCAAAATTTTACGAAAAATTGTTAAAAATTTACTATAAAGGGCAATAACTCCTTAAGGGGTCAATTGACAATTATGGTCATGTTGACTTATTTGTAAATTTTACTTTGCTGAACATTATTGCTGTTTACAGTTTATCTCAATCTATAATAATATTCAAGATAAAAACGAAAAACTGAAAAATTTTCTTAAAATTACCAATTCAGGAGCAGCAACCCAACAACAGGTTGTCTGATTCGTCTAGAAATCTCAGGGCAGATAGATCTTAACCTGATGAACATTTTTACCCCGTGTCAGATTTGCTCTAAATGCTTTAGTTTCAGACATATAAGCCAAAAACAATTATGGTCATGTTGACTTATTTGTAAATCTTACTTTGCTGAACATTATTGTGTGTTTACAGTTTATCTCTATCTATAATAATATTCAAGATAATAATCAATTAACTGTTATCACAGAGATATATCTCGCCTTTTTTTATTTTGATAATGCAAATGTTGAAATTAAAATAGCAATACTGTAACATGTAAGTTATGCAAATATTCAAAATCGATGAACCATGACTGAAGGTACATGGCTAAACAATCTCCATGGAATGAGATGTGTCAATGCTAATACAACTGCATACCAAATACCATTGACTTATTATAAGTCGTTCCCTTTAAACAAACCTAAACACAAACATTAACTTGAAAACTATGTAAAAGTTTCAAAGTCAATGAACCATGATCAGGGGTGGGGCTATATAATCTCCATGGAAACGGTACTTGCAAATGCCAATAAATTTGCATACCAAATATCATTGACTTAACATTAGCAGTTCATCTTAAACTGATCTAATCACAAACTAATACATGTAAAGTAAGCAAAAGTTTCAAAGTAAATAGACCATGACTGAGGGGGCGGGGCCAAATATTCTCCATGGAAATGAGATGTGCTAATGCTTATACAACTGAACACCAACTAACATTGGCCTACCACTAATGGTTCCCCTTTAACTGACCTAATCACAAACTAATACATGTTAACTTAGCAAAATTTTCAAAGTCTATAGACCATGACTAAGGGGGCGGAGCCAAAAAATCTCCATGGAAATGAGATATGCCAATGCTTATACAACTGCATACCAAATATCATTGACCTACCACTAGTGGTTCCCCATAAATTGACCTAATCACAAACTAATACATGTAAACTATGAAAAGTTTCAAAGTCAATAGACCTTGACTGAGGGGGCGGGGTCAAATAATCTTCATGGTAATGAGATGTGCCAATGCTAATACAACTTCATACCAAATATCATTGACCTACCACTAGTGGTTCACCATGAACTAGACCTAATCACAAACTAATACATTGTTGACGCCGCCGCCGGAAACAGCATACCTATTCTCGCTTTTTGACTCCGTCAAGGCGAGACAAAAACTTCAAAATTTCCTTAAAATCACTAATTCAGGGGCAGCAACCCAACAACGGGTTGTCTGATTCGTCTAAAAATTTCAGGGCAGATAGATCTTAACCTGATGAACATTTTTACCCTTTGTCAGATTTGCTCTAAATGCTTTAGTTTCAGAGATATAAGCCAAAAACTGCATTTTACCCCTATGTTCTATTTTTAGCCATGTCGGTTATGTTGGTTGGCAGGCGGGGTCATTTGACACATTTTTTAAACTAGATACCCCTTATGATGATTGTGGCCAAGTTTGGTTAAATTTGGCCCAGTAGTTTCAAAGGGGAAGATTTTTGTAAAAGATTCCAAAATTTTACGAAAAATTGTTAAAAATTTACTATAAAGGGCAATAACTCCTTAAGGGGTCAATTGACAATTATGGTCATGTTGACTTATTTGTAAATTTTACTTTGCTGAACATTATTGCTGTTTACAGTTTATCTCAATCTATAATAATATTCAAGATAAAAACGAAAAACTGAAAAATTTTCTTAAAATTACCAATTCAGGAGCAGCAACCCAACAACAGGTTGTCTGATTCGTCTAGAAATCTCAGGGCAGATAGATCTTAACCTGATGAACATTTTTACCCCATGTCAGATTTGCTCTAAATGCTTTAGTTTCAGACATATAAGCCAAAAACAATTATGGTCATGTTGACTTATTTGTAAATCTTACTTTGCTGAACATTATTGCTGTTTACAGTTTATCTCTATCTATAATAATATTCAAGATAATAATCAATAAACTGTTATCACAGAGATATATCTCGCCTTTTTTTATTTTGATAATGCAAATGTTGAAATTAAAATAGCAATACTGTAACATGTAAGTTATGCAAATATTCAAAATCGATGAACCATGACTGAAGGTACATGGCTAAACAATCTCCATGGAATGAGATGTGCCAATGCTAATACAACTGCATACCAAATACCATTGACTTATTATAAGTCGTTCCCTTTAAACAAACCTAAACACAAACATTAACTTGAAAACTATGTAAAAGTTTCAAAGTCAATGAACCATGATCAGGGGTGGGGCTATATAATCTCCATGGAAACGGTACTTGCAAATGCCAATAAATTTGCATACCAAATATCATTGACTTAACATTAGCAGTTCATCTTAAACTGATCTAATCACAAACTAATACATGTAAAGTAAGCAAAAGTTTCAAAGTAAATAGACCATGACTGAGGAGGCGGGGCCAAATATTCTCCATGGAAATGAGATGTGCTAATGCTTATACAACTGAACACCAACTAACATTGGCCTACCACTAATGGTTCCCCTTTAACTGACCTAATCACAAACTAATACATGTTAACTTAGCAAAATTTTCAAAGTCTATAGAACATGACTAAGGGGGCGGAGCCAAAAAATCTCCATGGAAATGAGATATGCCAATGCTTATACAACTGCATAC